GGCCCGGCCTACTTCCCCGGGCAGCCTGGCAGCAGGGCAGAGCGCTGGCGCTGCCCTTCCCAGGCCAGGTCCTGCCCCCCAATGCCCAGCACCCCACAGGGCTGAGGAGACGGGCTGAGAGTGACAGGGCCATGCTAGAGGCTGAGAGGGCTGTGGGGGGCGGGGGGCTCTGGCTAGGCCCTGCAGCAGCGTTGGCCTCCAGCCACTAGGAGTGCTGTGGGGAGGGGGCGGGGCGCTGGCTCCAGGGGCAGCTCCCGGCCGCTCGGGCCCGGCCTCGCCCAGCGGGGGGCGCTGTGAGGAGCGAGGCTGTGGTCTCCCCTGTCTATGGTGCTGAAGGGCCTGTGGCTGCTTTGTTCAGCACAGTGGACAGGGCCCTTTCCATGGGCTCCTTTAAGAGATTCCGGGCTAGGACCCACTATGGTGGAGGAGGGCTGGAGCCAGGACTCCTGGGTTCTATTCCTAACTCCTCTATGGGGAGCAGAGTGGGTAGGCTGGACACTGCCCCCTCCTGGCGCTGGGCAGCAGAATGCCCAGGAGGCTCCAGCCCCCTGCGCCATCCCCTCCCTGTGTCGCTGGCCTGTCCGCCTTCCTCCCCAGCGCTGAGCCGGAATTAGCCCCCGCCCGCTCCTGGGAGCACAGATGGGGCCAGCCAGCTAATCCCCTCGGCCTGACCTGGCAGCTGGGACAGCTCGGGCAGCCAGGACTCCTGGGTTCTCCTGGCTCTGGGAGGGGTGTGGGGCTGGTGGTTAGAGCGGGCGGGGGAGGTGAAGCCAGGACTCCTGGGTTCTCCTGGCTCTGGGAGGGGAGGGGGGGCTAGTGGTTAGAGCTGGGATTGGGCTGGAAGCCTGAACTCCTGGTTCTATCCCAGCTCTATGAATGCGGTGCCCCCCCCCAGGCTGTGTTCCTACAAGGACCCCCCGCACCCTGTCACACTCCAGCTGACTGAGAGATGAGGGCTGGTTTCCATGGCAGCTGCCCCCGCCCCCCCCGCCCCATCCCCACACTGCACCTGGAGCCTGCAGAGTCCTGAGCCTCTGACAGGCGCTCATGGGCTTGGGGTCGGGGTGAGAGGAAAGCATCATGGGAAATCTTACACACACCCTTCCCCCTCCGCATCATGGGCTGGGGACTAGACCGGCCCCTGCTGGCCGAGCCCTGGGCCCCTGCCCCCCACTCTGCTGGTACCCCTCACTCCTGACCCACAGCCCCTGCTAGCCCAGCCCCCCCCAGCTCTGCCGGTGCCCCTCACTCCCGACCCGCAGCCCCTGCTAGCCCAGCCCCCCC